CAGCTCTCCGATTACCGGGGTGGGTGCAGAGATCTTAGTCCTCGTTCCATTTTTTTTTTTTTTTTTTAATGACATTTGAACATACACATGCACACAAAATAGGAAGGACATGATTTCAGAATAGAGTTCACTCGATGAAAGGAGGTGAGGGTCACCCAACTCCTGCCCCACTCCCCAGCTACAAGGAGTCCCCTGAGGGAGTCCAGAACCCCCCTCTCCTCTCCCAAAGGCTCTGCCCAAGGAGAGGAGGGACCAGGCCCCTGGTGGAGCATCTGGGTTGCAGGAGTCATCCCCCTGCCATTGTGCCCGTGGCCTGGAACAGCAGGAAGTTGGTTCCCTCCATGTCCTGAAGCCAAACCTTTTGCACCTGAGAAAGGATGGCCCTCGGGTGAGAGGAGGCCATTAACTCCCTTTTCCCTGCCTACTGGGCCCCTGGGCCCCCGCACAGGGCAAGTGCGGATACGAGATCCTCCTGTGCTCCTACCACTACCTTCTTCCCCTTCGGGAAGCTTCTGAGGCCCTGAGAGCCTGCCACAAAAACACCCCCCAGCCATGGCAGGCCAAGTGCAGGGCTATTGGCTCCTAAATCAGGCTCCTGGGTGGTGGCCGAGGTTGTGGGAGCCGGGCGAGCCCATGGGGAAACCTGACAGGATCAAATCGCAATCCTCCAGGACCGTGGCAGTATCCTGCATAACTGTTTGGGTGAGGAAATAATCAGTTCTGTTAAAGGTCAACCATGTTCAGGAAATGATCTCTATGTGAACCTCACTATCCTGTAATGTCATCAAAGTAGCTTAGCCCAGTTATGTCCTCTCCATTGGAGACCCAAATTATATTTTTTAAAAACTGATCAGCTGAAGACTTGGACTAGAGCTTTAAAAAAGAATCTTAAATTCCTTGAAAACATTCAAGTTTAAAATACTTATAAAATATATTTCTATTACAAAGCACTGACATGAATGCCCTATGTGACTTGGAATTTTCTTTGAGGTCATTTTACCACAAATCTTCATTAAAAAAAAAAAAGCCAAAGTGAATAAGAAAAGGTTCTATTTTTCAGAAACAGCTTCCCGTGTCTAAGTTTCTTTCATAGACTTAAGTTCCTAGTTCAGGTTGTTAAAATGCCCATCTGATTTTTAGATTTTAAGTGGGTTTTTGTTTTGTTTTCATTTTAAAATAAGCCTGCCACCAAAAAAAAAAAAAAAAATTTCTTGTCAAAATTTGAACTATGAGTTTTTCTCATGTTTAGTTATGTAAACTAGCACAATAAATGCCTGGAGTAGTGCTGTGATTGCTAAAGCACATACATGAGACCAGCAGCAAAACCAAAATGTACTTTGCTTTTACTTCCCCTAGTAAAGAATTTGCAGGCAACCATGTTTAATTTGAATTATCTAAGATGGTAGAAGATCTAAGAAGCTAGGAAAATAATTGAGTTTTACAGCATTTTCAGAATACAAAAATAAGGTTAGATATACAATCATTCTAATTTTTCAAAATCCCATGTGATTCAGACTGCTCCCTATTTCGCTGTCCCTCTGCCTGGAGCCCTCTCCTCAGTTAATGGGCTTTTCTACTCCAATCTCACCCTGGCAGAGTCTCCCCTGAACCCTGTATGGGATGACTGGGGGCACCCTTCCTGCCCCAGGACTCCCAACTCCTCCCTAATTATGCTTTATTTTCCCCAGGGCACATACCACCATCTGACACACTATTTGTCTTCCTTATTGTCTCTCTCCCCCGATCAGAAATAAACTCCCAGAACACTCATAATCGTCACTACCTAGCAGGCCACGGGTACCCGATAGATAAAATTGTTATGAGGTTATCATAAAAATGTACATCTTGAATGTGCAGCTTTAATGTATTTTTATATACAAGCACCACCCAGTTCAAGCGGTGAAACATTTCCAGAGGGCTCCTTTGCGCCCCGTCCCAGCCAAGCTGCTGGCTCCTGGTGCCCAGGGGTGCCTGCCAGGCACAGCCATCGTTCCCCTTCCCAGGATGTACCTAGAGGCCCAGTCAGGGGTACTGTCTCCCCGGGGCCCCTGCCCTCACTCAGGAGGCTGCACTCCTAACACTTGACGAAGGCTGGGTCAGGCCCTTCCCAAAGGCCTGTGAGGTCCTGCGGCAGAACCAGCCAGTCGGTCACACCGGTTGGCTAGACCACTTTTCCTAGCCTCCCTCAGGTGGGACCTTGTGACAGGTCCAGTAGGAAGTGAAGAGGCGATGGGACCACTTCCAGCCCTGGCCCCAAAACACCTCTGTGGGCTACAAGTTTGTCCCTTCCTCACTGGCCTTGAAAGTCATGGGTTGCAAACGGTGGGGCCCCAAGATGGAAGGGGCCTGGGCCCTGCAGTCCCTCTTGGAGAAGCACTGTCACTGATCAGATGAATCCCATTATGAGTCTCACATGAACAAGCAAGAAACATCCGCTGCATGTGAGCCTATGTATTTTGAGTTTAAGTCAGCCCTTTGCCCTAATAACTAGTATATACAGTATAGCATATATAACTAAGACAGGTAATCAATCCCTAGCCCCATTTTACAGATGAGAAAACTGAGACACAGAGAAGCTATAGAACTTGTTCCAGGCTAGCAAATGGAGAAGTCAGGATTTGAACCCAGGGCCTGGTTCCAGAGGTCATGCTCATCAGCCCACCGCGCAGGCCGAAGAAGCAGGCCTAGAACACAGAGACGCAGGCCAGCGGCTCCTGGGTGTCTCCCTCTCACCTGTGTCTCCTCAAGTCTTTTGCCTGGAGGCTGCTCCCAGCACCCTGGCCTCCTTGCCTTCCCCAGTCATCCCAGCCTCATCACTCTGCACCTTCTCAGTTCAGAACCTCACCTCTGGACACAGCCCAGCCCCCGGCTCCTAGGGTCTCTTCCTCTCCCACGCCCACCCACCCATCACACCTGTGTGGCAGGCCCTCGGCTCCGCGGGCCCGGCGCCCACCTTCCCCGGACTGGGGCGGGGGCGGGGCGGGGGAAGACTGCCCCTCCTGCTCCTGGGCCGCTGGGGACCGCCTCCCATTCGTGGTCCCCGTCAGCCAGAGCTCTCTCAGTTACGAGTGACCAAAACCCAACTGGCTTCGAGTGGGGTAAATGTTTATTGGCTCACGTGACTAAGTCCAAGGGATACAGGGTTCAGGCAAGCCTGGGTCCCAGGGTCCTCAGAAACGGGTACCTCTGAGGCTCCTGGCTCTCCTGTGCCAACTCCATTCTCAGTCAGGATCACCCGTCGGGGTGGGAACCGGCTGCCAGCAGCACCCAGCCTACACTCTGTCAGCTTTGCTACCCCAGGGTGGCCACCGTCACCCTCACCAGGGCTCTCTGCTGCCTCCAGGGCCACGGCAAAGCGAGCCATCTTGTCAAGACCTGTCCCCAACGGTCCCCCCAAAGTCCCAAGGGCTCAGGCGTGTTGGCTGGCCCGCTACGGTCACAACCCGGCCTCCATCTCTCACTGTGGCCAGAGTATGTAGTGCGATGTCCCCACCCCTCAACCTCAGGGAGTGGGGTCAGCTGCACATACTACAGGTTGAGTAGAAGAGAGATGGTCCCCAAAAGACAGCAGCGGCTCTATAACCACAGCAGAGGCAGACAGCACCCAGGTGCCCCTCGGCTCCGGGGGCCCGGGCCCATCCACACCTGCCGCCTGGCCTCCTGTGCCCCAAAGACACTTGCATCAAAACTGAATACCTCAGTGCCCCTGCCAAACCCTCTCATCGTCCCCCACCTCGCCCTGGTCAGGCTGGGGTCAGCCTCAGGCAAGCGCACCGCACCGCATCCGTCTCCCTCCCGTCCTTCAGTCCCCTCCCTTGCTACAGCCTGCCCTTCTGCTATCTTCGAAATCAAAACCCAAAACTCTGTCCTCGTTCTGAGCCATGGCTCTTGTCTCAGCCCTGAGCACTGCCTCCCCTCCCCTCAGTTTCTCACCTCCAGCTCCCCGTTGTCAACACCCACCAAGCCTTCCCTAAAGCTTGCAAGCTGTTCTGACAGCTGACCTCTCCCTCCTGGGGGAGGAGGGGCTGCTCTTCAGTCTCCTTTGGTGGCCTGCCCAGGCCCTCCCCTCTCTCCCTGGGGCGAGGTCACCTACTCTCAAGGCTCACACATCTGTCTCCGGGCCCCTAACATTCCAGGGCCCATTCTATGCCTCCCCTTGGCAGCTTCTCGGGCACCCGAAACTCGCCACAGCCCAACCTGTGACCCTGACACCTAATCTTGCTCTTTCTCTGTGTCCTCCAGCTGGAAAAGGGCCCCTGCCCAAGTCGCTGCAGAAAAAAAAGCTGGCAGTGCCTAAGGGTTCCCTCCCTTTCAGCCCCACAGCCAGTCAGTTCGCAGCACCCTTGAGTCTACTGGTAACACGCACCTCAAGTCTGCCCACGGCCGCCATGTCTCCTGCCCAGCCTCACCAAGCCCCGGCTCCCTGAAGGCACACGTCTGCCTTGGGGGCCCCACGGTTCGAGGGTCTGCTTAGAAATGGGGGCAGACTGACCACCAGGGTCACTATCCTGCTCGAAAGCCAATCTTTGAGGCCCTCGATAGTCCCACCTACCTCTGCTCCCACTGCCCCTTTCCACACGCCCTTCATGGCACCAGGCACCAAGCTCTGCAGTTTTCAAGGCCTCCTCCCATTATTTGTCCCATCTGTCCCTTTGCAGCAGTCCAGAGTGGGCAGAAGAGTCTCCACCAGAGAGGTAAGAAGCCACTCAAAGAAAAAATAGGAACCTCTCCAGGGTCACACAGCACAACGGAACAGGTTGTCCCCCAGCATAACCAGGACCTCTGGCTCCGGCCCTACACCACCGCTCTGCCTACCTTCCTTCTGTCAGCAGCCCTGCTCCTACCCCGGCAGAACCGTGGCCTCTGGACCCCCCCTTCACTCAGCTGCTGCCCTGCCCGCCACCGCTCCTGGCCTCAGCTCAGCATGGGGAAAGCAAGCAGGTGGATGGGTGGGAAGGTGGCCACAGAGCCCTGTACATAGGCTGGGACAGACACCGGTGTTCCCTTTTATTATTAATTTTTTAATAAATTTAAGAACAGCTCTATCTTCTCTCCTCCCCCCAGAGCAACTAAAACCAACTAAAAGGGGGCGTGGCCTGGGGGGCAGAGGGCGCTAGGAGTCATAGTCCTCTTCATCCTCTGCGTCAGGTGCTGAGGGGCCCGGGGGTGCTGGGGGCAGAGGCAGAGTCGAAGTGAAGGGCATGAAGGGTGTCGGGGGGCTGCAGGGCAGAAACAGGAGAGAAAGATCAGGCCCCTCTCCGGTGCCCATTCGTGCCCACTGAGCCCTACCCCACCCCCATGAGCATGGAGCCTGTGGCCCTCTGTACCAAAGGGCAGCCAAGCTCAGTGAAGGGAAGGACCCAGAGCAGGTCACACAGCGCCTGCCCAGGCCCCATCCTGGGTGGAGGAGGAGACCTTCTGAGAACAGTCTCCTGCCATTAAGCCATGCTCAGTTCCCCGCCCCCGTCCCCCAAATCGGCCACAAGGACAAAAAAACAAGTCAGCCTTGCGGAGTCTGCTAGCCCCCTCTGGTGCCACTGAACTGCTTACCTCTGAAAGTGGGCAGGGGGATGACTGGCCTGGGGTGGGGCCTGTGATGTCTCCTCTTCCCCCTCAGTGTCTGTATCGTCAGACTCATCCTGGGAGCAAGACAGGGGTCAGAGGAGACAAGAAAAGCATGAGCCCATCACTGTAGAACATAGACCCCTGGGAATGGCAGGGACAGGTGACTGATCTCTATAGCCTGACCTTTATAGCCCCAATTTACAAAAAACCATAGGTGAGGATGGGACCAGGTGTCCAGCCAGCAAGGCCTGATGCAAGACTGCCTGCTCCACACCATGGGGTAGGGCAGCAGGCTGGGGGCCTCACTCACCTCCTGCTCCGAGTCCGTCCCTGACAGCTTCTTGTCCTTGCTTTTGCTTCCCATCCCACCATTCTTCCGGCCACTGCTTCCTGGCTTCCGGCCCCTTCGGGAAGGTACAGTCCATCTGCCCAGAGATCTCACCACTCCCTGACCACCCCCCAACCACCCCCAGCCCCAGTGGCCTTGGCCTTCCTTGCCTGGACACCTGGCCCTGGCTCCCCACCTGCGGGTACCCTTGTCCCCGTCCATGTGGTTGTCTTCCCCATCTCCCTGCATGTCAGGCACAGAGGCCACCAGGTCCTTCAAGAAGTCAAACTGCTGCTCCAGCTCAATGCACTGCTTCCTGGAAGGGTGGGGGGAGAAGACAGCATTCAGGTGGGGCCCAGATGTCTGGGCCCTCAGCAAGGGACAGCAAGGGTCTCTGGATGTCAGGAGAATAGAGCCTGGAAAACCTCCACCCCATCTCCACTACTGGACCTTTCCGCCTGGCTAGACCACCCAACCCCTCCTCCCCCAGTTCAAACTCACCAGTGTTTGAGGCATTGCTGGTCTCCCAGCAGCCTCCCACCTCCCCTAAGTGTGTGAACTTCTGGGGCAGGGTCCCACTGGGCCCAACCAGCTCCCAGGCCACTCACAAGTGGGATGTGGTCATGGTCTTGGCATTTCGGGACTGGGTCACCTGGCAAGCCTTTTTCAACAGCGACTCCAGGAACAGCTCAAGCGCCCGGGCTGAGGAGCGTCAAGGAGAACACGGGTGGGGGATCCCCAGCCTAAACAAGGCGATCCCGGGCTCCCTCCCTACCCCACGTCCCTCAACCTGGCCAGGCCCCGACAGGATACAGATGATGACAGGCACTGCCGCCGCCACCTTCCCAATTTCTTCGTCAGTTTGCATGATCTTCTTGATCCGCGCCTGGGGAGGGGGCAGAAAACTTGGACCCTGTCACCTCCGTCCCAGAAAGGGGTGCTGGGGAGGGCGGACCGAGAGAGGGTATCCCGGGAGAAAGGGGGCGGGGGGCACGGACGCGGGGAGAGCACGGAAGGGGGCGGGGCGTCCGTGCCCCCGAACACCTCGATGCGCCCGACGCCCCCCCCCGCCAGCCCGGCTTGGGCCCGAGCCTCCCGAGAGCCCGGCCCGCTCCTCCCGGGCCCGGCCACGTGCTCACCGGCGGGAACCGCGCGTTATACTTTTTCTTCTTGCTCGGCATCTCAGGGCCTCTCTTGCCGCGCCGGGCCCAGCGCCGCCGCCCGCAGCTTCCCGGCCCCCGGGCCTGCTCGCCGCCCGCCTGCCGCGGTTCCCCCGGGTCCTTGTGCCGCCCGCTCCGCCCCCGCCGCTCCCCACGGGGTCCTAGCGCCGCGGGTCAGGACGTCGCTCGCAGGGCGGAGCGCCCTCCCCTTGGAGCCTCCCTGGCGGTGCGCGTCGCTCCCGGACCGGACCGCCACTCCCGCCGGCCCCCGAGCTTAGGAGAGCGAACGTTAGCCCCGCCCCCGAAGCCCCGCCCCGCCCCGGGTTCCCCGACGGCCCCGCCCCCGAGGTCAGCCCCTCCCCTTGCAGGTCCCGCCCCGCGGCGCGGCCGACCGGCCCGGCGGCCCCGCCCCGTGCTGCGCTTGTCTATAAAGTTGTTGTTGAGACGGCGGGCGCTAAGATGGCGGCGGCGGCGGCCGTGGCGGGGGCGGGGCGCGGCGGCGGCGGCGGCGGTGGCGGCGGCGGCGGCGCAGGCGGCGCAGAGCCCCGGCAGGAGCGGAGCCGGGCGCGGGGCTGGGCCGGCGCCGAGCGCGGCGAAGGCCGGAGGTGACGGCGGGGCTGCGGGAGGGGGCAGGGCAGGGCTGGGCGGGGGCGCGGCTCGGGCTGTGGGCGCTAATGGTGGCGGGCGCGGCTGGCCCGAGGCTGGCGCTCTCGTAGGCTCTACCAAGCCTGGGTTCCAGGCTGGCGCTCTCGTAGGCTCTACCAAGCCTGGGTTCCAGGCCGGCCACCGCCCCATTGGCCTTGGACTGGTCACTGCCCTTTCTGGGCATCAATGTGCTCGTCTTCAAGTGGGCCCGACAGCGCCATCCTCGAAGGTCTGGCCCTACTGGGCCTGCCTCGATGCTGCGCGAACGTGCGCTTCTTTGCCTCCCTTCGTTAAATCCCAGCGCTCGGGATCCTTGCCAGTTATTGTCAGGGCCAGGAGGTGTAGCGGGGCTGCTTGCTCCCACACCTGAATTCACATTTCGGCCTTGTCACTCGTTGCAGGTGTGACCTTGGGTAAGTCACTTCTCTCTGAGCTTCAGTTTTCTGGTCTGTAAATCGGGGAGAGTGGTAATAAGATCATCAACAACCTTTATGCAGCGCTTATTCCACCTCAGGTGTTTAATGCTCAACAGCTCTAGGGGACAGGAACAGTTGTCCTCTGTAAAGATGCAACTGAGGCATGGACGTTAAGTCCTGCCCAAGGCCACCGAGTTTAGCCCATTGGCTGCACCTGGTACGGCCCAGCAAACTGTAGATGTGTCCTGGGCCTGCCCTAACTCCGTTCCTTCACAGCAGGATGGAGCCAGGTGAAGAGATGGAGGAGGAAGACTCTCCAGGCGGCCGTGAGGATGGCTTCACTGCTGAGCACCTGGCCGCAGAGGCCATGGCAGCTGACATGGACCCCTGGCTGGTGTTTGATGCCCGAACCACACCTGCTGCCGAGCTGGATGCCTGGTTGGCCAAGTACCCACCATCCCAAGTTACTCGCTATGGGGACCCTGGCTCGCCCAACTCTGAGCCTGTGGGCTGGATTGCAGCATATGGGCAGGGCTATGTCCCCAACTCGGGTGATGTGCAGGGCCTGCAGGCAGCCTGGGAAGCTCTGCAGACCAGCGGGCGGCCCATCACACCGAGTACCCTGCGCCAGCTGGCCATCACCCATCATGTGCTCTCTGGCAAGTGGCTGATACACCTGGCACCTGGCTTCAAGCTGGACCACGCCTGGGCTGGCATTGCTCGGGCTGTGGTCGAGGGCCGGCTTCAGGTGGCCAAGGTGAGCCCACGGGCCAGGGAGGGTGGGCGCCAGGTCATCTGTGTTTACACGGATGACTTTACGGACCGCTTGGGTGTACTGGAGGCAGATGCTGCCATCCGTGCGGCAGGCATTAAGTGCCTGCTCACCTACAAGCCTGACGTCTACACCTACCTGGGCATCTACCGGGCCAACCGCTGGCACCTCTGCCCCACTCTCTATGAGAGTCGTTTTCAGCTGGGGGGCAGTACCCGCGGCTCCCGTGTGCTGGACCGCGCCAACAATGTGGAACTAACCTAGTGTGGCCAAGGGGGGGGAGACCACCTATTGCCCCTTTCCCCCCGCTCCCTGCTAGGGTTGGATCCTCCCATCTTCCTCCTCTTTGTCCCAAGGAGTTTGAGCCCCCTAGCTCTGAGGACTACGCCAATCGGGAACTGCCTGCATCTTCGATCCCTTTGAACTCTTGCCCTCCGTTCAGGGCTGACTCAAGTCCCCACCAGCTGGAGGCTCTGGCTCCCTGAGGGCCGGACCCTCAGCCTCTCTTTTCACTGCTGCTCCCCTCGGTCATCCAGGACCACAGGCTGGGTACAGATTCCCAGGAGGAGAGCCTTCCTTGGCCACCCTCATCCCCAGCTGTACCTCCCTCTCCTCCTAAATCCTTTCCTTCTCTTCCCTCACAAGAGAGAAACATTAGTGCTTCCAGTCCCTCTTGGAGCCTTCAGTCCAAGGGGCAAAGGCCCTGCAGGCCTAAGCATGCTATTTTGTTGGGGGGGAGGGGGTGATTGTACCCACTCAGCCCTTGGCAGAGAGAAGGGGTGCCAGGGCCATGGACATGGGGCCTGCCCCTCCCTGCCACCTCATACAGCCTGCACCACCTTCCTTCCTTCCTTTACTACCTTGACATGTGCCTGCTCCTGGCATTTCAATAAAACCCAGTTTGGGTGTGTGTCTTGAGTGTTTTTTAAAATACTGGTTACCTGCTTTGGTTGCTGGGGAGAGGCAGGGGCCAGGAGAGACTGCTTCTCTGCCCTAAGTGGGTACCCCTAACTGCCCCCAGTAATAAGATTCACCTCATTGCCAAGGCTGGGAACCTCTCTGAGAGTCTCTGCAAAGCCAGTCCTGCTTCCCCTCCATCCCAAGAATCAGAATCAGTTTCTCAGTGGTTTCCCATAAATCTAGGGGCTTGACCCAGCAAAGTCTGAGCACAGGGTGTATTTGTGTCAGTTAGAGAAAGGTACCCTCTTGCTCCTGGCATTTCTAGGTTAGGGGATATGGTCTGGTGAGCAGAGGATGGGCTAGACTTCAGCCGCCTGGGTTGGACATCCTTACGCAGTAAACAACCTGCGCAACCATAAGGAACTCTGGAAGCGCTCTCGTTTAGACTCACTTCTCCCGCCCTGACTGTCCTGGGCCCCTGGACAGTTTGCATAGCACTTCATATGTCTTATTTAAGTCTCACAACCTGCTTTGGAGATGTTGGTCCCATTGTGTGTTCAAGGAAATAGAAGCCAAGAGGGAAAAGGAGTTCTCTCAGGGTCATGCAGTGAGTTGGGCAGAGTAGGACTTAACACCCTGGCCCCTGCCTCCTCCTCAGACTGTTACCCAGGGCCTCACCCACCATGAGTTCTTCACAACCCACAAGGCACATTCACTCACATGATGTGGGCAGCACCACTCAACTGAGGCTACTGTAATCTGGGAGTCTGGCTCCAACATCCCCCAGCCCTGTGCCTGGCCCTGGCCTTGATTGGAGGCCAGGGTTTCTGGCAAGGAGCCCCTTGGGACGCTGCTCTCGTGCCGTGCCGGAGCTGACTCAGCCTCCAGCAGCCTCACCAAATTGGAATTTGGAGCAGGGGAGCGGAGATGCCACTGGGCTGACTGGGTGGAAATGGGTGAGTCATGAGATGCTGGCTCAGCCCCCTCCCCAGCTTCCTCCTCACCCCAAGTTTCCCCAGGGCTGAGTTCCCTCAGCCCAGTCCTGGGAAGTCCCAGAGCTAGGTGGTCTCTGACTTGGAGCCCATTGCCCTGCATCCCTCAGACAAGCAATGCTTTGCACTTGACCAAATCGGGCCAAGGCTTGGGGGGATCCTGCCAGGCCCTGATGGGTCCCGCAAAGCAGCCCAGGTGGTATCAACAGCACCTGATTCTCCTTTCCTAACAGAGCATTTCACACACTTCCCTCCCTCTTCCATCCTCATGGCGCTGCCTTAGCCCACTCCTCACTCGCACACCACTGCAGCTTGCCTCCTCTGCCTCATTGCCTCCCACCGACCCCATCTCTCCTCCTACAGCCAGCTCTCCTGCAGAGCTACCCGTGCCCCCCTCTCCTCAAAACCCTTCCTTTGGGGCGCCTGGGTGGCTCAGTTGGTTAAGCGGCTGCCTTGGGCTCAGGTCATGATCCCAGGGTCCTGGGATAGAGACCTGCATCAGGCTCTCTCTTCAGTGGGGAGCCTGCTTCTCCCTCTCCCTCTGTCTGCTGCTTCCCCTGCTTGTGCTCTTTCTCTCTCTGTCAAATAAATAAATAAAATCTTAAAAACAAAACAAAACAAAACAAAACCCTTCCGTGGTTCCCCGTAGCCTGCAATATAGAGTCCACTCTCTGGAGGCAGCCATGACCCTAGACCCCTGCCAAGCCCCAGCTTCCCTCAGGTGCCCCTTCCTGCCTGTGCTCACCCCACTGGAGCCAACTGGCACTTCCTTCACCCCTTGGCATGCAGCCCTGGGCCTCAGGACGTTCCTTCTGCTTGAACACCTGTCATTCAGCAAGGATTGGGAGGTTACTTATATAATCACTCGATTGATGCCTATCTCTCGCTGGTCCTAAGCCATATGCCCAGACTGTGGGGCTTAGTGAAAGCAAGAACAACATCTAAATCTCAGCCCTATCCCCAGAGCCTAGCACAGTGCTTGGCCAGAGCAACCTCTCCATAAATTAACTAAAATCCAAATCTAAATTTCAATTCAAATCCAGTCCCTACCTGTTCCTCTGGACTCCTCTCCTTCATTCTCTGCTTCACCCTTCTTGTTCCAGAAGCATGAGCTGCCTGTTGTTTTCTTGCAGGCATGCTGGCCTTTCTCATTTTTGTGTCTTGCTCATGCTGTCACCTCCATTTGGTGTGCCTGACCCTCACATGCTTTCCTGGCTGAACACATGTCACACCTACCAGCCCATCCTCCCAGAGATTTGTCCTTCCCCATTCATCCACACCCCAAGCTCCCAGAACACCCACCCTGCTGTGTGTGGCTCTCATCTGTGTGTCTGGGGACCCCCGCAAGGACAGTGGCTCCACTTTATCCTGCAGGGTGTCTTCAGGGTCCAGCATAGGACCTGGCCTAGCACAAGTGCCAAGTAAACATTATTGAATAAATGAGTGATTGAATGAAAGTCACTCTCTGTCTCCGGGCCTGTTTCCTCATTCTGTTCATAACAAGAGCGAGGCACTGTGCTGAGTGTTTCCCTCCATCATCTCATCAAAGTCTCACCTGGCTCTGTTATTACTGCTGTTTTGCAGAAAAGGAAACGGAGGCCCAAAGAGGTGCAGTAATTGGTTCCAGGTTACAAAGCCGTAAGTGACAGAGCCAAGATTTGAATCCAGGTCATCCAACCCCAGAGCGCCTGATGGCATTGTTGAGCCCAGCACTATAGGAAAGTGCTGTTGGGGGTGCCTGGGTGGCTCAGATGGTTAAGAGTCTGCCTTCGGCTCAGGTCATGATCCCAGGGTCCTGGGATCGAGTCCCGCATCGGGCTCCCTGCTCAGTGGGGAGCCTGCTTCTCCCTCTGCCTCTCTCTCTGTGTCTCTTATGAATAAATAAAATCTTTAAAAAAAAAAAAGGGAAAGTGCTCTTGGAGTGAGGAGCTGCAACGATAAATAAGCCCCATCAAGGACTTAGGACCTGACTTGTAAACTACACAAGTTAGGTCCTCAGAACTGCCGGAGAGGACAGACTGGGCCAAGACTAAGATTCCCATTTTACTGATGGAGAAACTGAGATGCAGAGAGTACAGTGACTAAGCCTACCTGGGCAGGAAGGATCTCCCAGGCCTATGGTAAAGACTGCTTCCCTACCAGGCCAGGGACTCCCCAGGATCCACCCCCTCAGGCTGGCAGGGGATTCTTCCCTGTTTGGAGTAAGGAAACAGCCCAGGCCCAGGGTGGGCTAGGCTGAGTAAACTTGGACAAGCCCCTATGCTCAGCCCTCTTTTATAAAACCACATAAAGGATGACTGAGGCCAGGGAAAGGAGACCCCCACACACACAATCTACCTCCTCCCACTCACATGTCCTGTGTACCCCAAACCCCAGGGAGGAGGCTCTAGAGGGGCTGGCTGGGGAATGGGGAGAATATCTACCTGACCCCTGATCTCAGCTGGGGCTAGGTGGCTGAGCCGGAGAAGACAGGAAACAGCTGAGTTGGGAGAAAGTTTCAGCCAGGGCTTTGGTGAGGTTTGGGGGATTTTCCCAGCAGGGCAACTGCACCCCACTCCCGCCCACTGGGAGGGGCCCTGGCAGGGACGAGGCTTGGGTCACACAGCTGATTCATCCAGGGAGGGAAACTCCCCACTTCTCTGACGCGCATCCCCCAGACACTGAGGGGGTAACCTGAGGGCACACAGCCCAGAGACCCACTGAACCCATTTTCCCTTGATTATTGGCTTCCCACCAGGGCATGAAAACCCCCCGGCTGGACAGAGGGACAGAGTCAGGCAGTGGGGCACGGTATGGGGCAGCTTCCCAGGGAATGACCTCAGAGACTGGAACCAAAGCAATGGCCACACAAAGGGTGCCCTGGCCCCCTCCCCTCACCCACTTGTTTAGCTGAGGACACTGGGGGTCAGATAGTAAGAGTGAATGGGCACATGACCTAGTCGGTACCTGGCACTCCTCCAAGCAGTTTGCATGCATTAATGCATTTTGGTCCTCACAGCCCTCATTTTACTGAGGAAGGAATTGCAGACAGAAGAGGTAAAGTAACTTGGCCATGGTCAAGGCTAGAAACACTCTGGCAGCCTCCACAACTCCCCTAAAATGTTCATACACACCCCTGTGGCAGGGAGCTGTGTCCCCGGTCACTGAGCAGCTCTGGCTCCTGGGAACTCTAGAGGACAGACATGTCACCCACTGGGCCCTGGCTCCTCCCAGGCTCAAAAGAGAAAGCTTGTCCCACAGGGGGAGAAAAAAAATCAGTCAAACCCCCAGAGGCCAGGAGAGGGCAGAGAAGCATTCCCGCCAAAATCTTCCTCTCTTAAGGCTTTGACTCCTTTCCAAACCCCCATCCTTTCCTCCGGAGCCAGAGCCTCCCTTTCCGGTCTGCCAGCCCGGCTCCCCTCCCTGACACCACACATACACACTCACGCAGGAACACACGGGCACTGGCGTGCACGCTGAGTCCAGCCTCCAGACCCCTGCCCCTCGGCCGGGCAGGCTGGGGTCCTGCCAGGTGTTGGAGGGGCCCTGAGAGTTGGGGCTTTTTGAGGCATGGCCAAAGGCCCTCCACAGGCAAGTTCTGCCCCATCTGGCTCCCACTCACAGGCCGCATGACTCACCCCCTCGCCCCCCATGACTCAGTTTACATGGGTGCCCAGAGGTCCTCCCAGCGAGGGTGGGGTGATTTATTGGCCCGGCCTAGGCCTGCCAGCCTTTTATGCCAGGATGAGCGTTTCATCCCCCTCCTGGCCCGGAGCAGGATCTGGCACCCTGGAGCCCAGGGGTGGGGGTAGGCCTCAGGTCCAGGACTGTGAGGAGAGCCCAAGAACTGGGTGACAGGCCCTAACTGTCCTGGGCTTAGGTCTGCAGGGAGCAGGAACTGCTCCAGGAGCCCTAAGGGGTGAGGCTGAGCGGGCAGAGCCATCCTGAGCACTGACAGCAGGACCCCTGATGCCCTCCACGCAGAGGGAATGGTCCACATGGCACAAAACTCGATGGCATGAAAATGCTAACACTTACT